TTTTTTTAGACAGAGCCTCAAGTTAGAGGGTAGAGTGCTGTGGCATCACAACTCACAGGAACCTCCAACTTCTGGGCTCAAGCGATTCTTCTGCCTCCACCTCCCTAGTTGCTGAGATTACAAGCGTCTGTCACAATGCCTGGCAGCCGTCATTGTTGGTTGGTGGGCCCAGGCTGGATTCTAACCCACCAGCTCCAGTGTATGTGGCTGTCGCCTTAGCCACTTGAGCCACAGGCGCCAAGCCAATTCACTTGATTTCTAAATATTGTAAAAGAAATTTAGGCCTAGGGAGTTGGGGAAACCACACCCCTAGATATAGAGTGGAACCTGAGTACATGTTCTTCAGAACTAACCTGCTGGCTGGGCACCATGGCTCATGCCTGTAATCCTAGCACTTTGGGAGGCCAAGGCAGGCTGACTGATTGAGTTCAGGAATTTGAGACCAGCCTGAGCAACAGCAAGATCCCCTTTTTACGAAAAATAGAAAAAACAGTATCCTATAGTCCCAGATACTGGGGAGGCTGGGAGGCTGAGGCAAGAGGATTGCCCAAGCCCAGGAGTTCGAGGTTGCTGTGAGCTATAACACCATGGCATTCTACCCAGGGTGACAGAGTGAGACTCTGTCAGGAAGAAAGGGAGGGAGGGAGGGAGGATAAAAGGGAGGGAGGAACGAAGGGAGGAAAAGAGGGAGGGGAAGAGAAGCAAAGGAAGGAAGGACCTGCTGGTTCCATGGTCTTCTCATTGCTCTCAAAAAGCAACAGTAAATTAATTAGAAAGTGAATGTTAGAGGTGTAAAAGAACCTTTCTTATCATGACTAACTAGAGGTAAGTGGAAGATGGAGATGGGATGGAAGATGGGATGGAAGATGGGATGAAATGACTCAGACATTTTGATTTTTTTTTCCTGTGACCTTATGAAGGATCACTGGCAATCCCAATTATAGATAAACTTACATAATTACAGCTTGCTGTCTATTTGTGGTTATGAGCGAGTAGAGAGCAAAGGAGTACATAATAAACCTGAGAGGTTTTTTTTTTTTTACAAAAATTGCTCTTACTGCGCTTCCTAGCCTTTTTATCTGGCATCGGACTTGGACTCTTCTGCCCCTGCTTTGGCACACATTTACTTTGAAAAGAGGAAGGAATATCCCATGCTCTCTGTATGGGAAGGTGACTTTTTTAGGGGTGATGTTCACTCAGCAGTGCTGATGAAAGGCATGTGCATGCAAAGCAACAAGAAAGCCAGTTCAACTGCCCTGGTAGATACATTGAGGTAGGAAATGTTGACCATCTGTGCCTAAGAGATATACTGATTTTTTAGTTTAGGGTAGTGCTGAGAGGACTGTGAATTGGGGAAGGAAACGAGTGGTGGGGATGGCTTTCCACAGAATAGTGAAGCCGTCTTTGCCATAACATGGAAGTGGAGGGCTCAGTGAAAGTCTGGGGTATTCTGACACTGCTTGGTAAGAACTCCATTGTGGAAGAGCAGTTCATTTCTAGGCATAAGAACCATACTTCTGCTCTAGGCAATACTTTGTTCATTTCTTGAGCGACTCTGTAAGGGGTCTTGGAGTCAGAATGTTAGCAATGTCATGACTTTCTTTCATGGTCTTGGTAACATCTCAGGGCAAAAATGGATGTCTTGCTTGTTCAGAGAATTTTAATAGCAGTGGACATTTGGAATAAGGGTATATCAATGGATTACCCTTGATTAAGGATCTGTGAGTACTGAAGTGAAACAACAGTACATAGGAAAAGTTGGAATGAATTGTAATGAAAATGAAAAGTGCTGGCCCTTTCAGGGAGGAGTGACGGCTTTGAGAGATCCCTGCAAGAGGCAGATTCAGTGTTTGAAGAGTCATTGCATCTGGAACGGAAGGGAGACTGTGCTGCAGCTTTGGCTCTCTGTAATGAAGCTATCTGTAAGTAACTCTAAACTAACCGCTATGGCTATGGCACTTTTGACTAACTTCACAGGGTATTATTAGTGCTGTCACTCAGATGGGATGAAAACAGTTTTTATATCTCCTCACTCCTGTCTCTCCCAAAGTGAGGCCTGTTAGCTGTCTCAGCAGGAATTCACAGGTGAATTCTCTAGCCATGCCTACCTTTTTATCCCAAGACAAAGTTACACCTCTGATGTGAGATTAGTCTGCTCTTTCTCTAGTCACTGACTAGTAAGTTGGAACTTAAGGTAGGAAAACAAAGTAAATTGATAGTGATTTCCCAGGCCTGTGACTTTTCACTGTAATATAAGATTCTTTCTGTTTCTCCCCTACTTTCCTGGTGTGTAGCATCATAAATTTATAGTAAGAGATGGACTAAGGCTTACAATTGGTACCTGAGTCTTAAGTGTAACCAAGAAGAAGCTGTACTTTATAAAGACAGATGCTGGTTTGGATCTTATATTTTGCTATTGGCCATCAGAAAGAAGAATTGGGGGAGTAGAGTATGGACACCAAAGTTAGACAGGTCAATTACAAAGGACAACAAGAGTGGCAGTTTCTAACAAGCACTAGTTTATCTTCCTGATTCATTTTAGTTTTGTTTTGTTTTTTAATTTGGATTAAACCTGTTTGGCCTCCATGGCTTCCATGAATGTCCCAGAGCCAGCTCTGTGCCCTGGACAGTATATGCATGGTCCATGCCTTGCCTCTGCTGCATATTTTGAGTTTTACTGCATATCTTTGCTCATTTTTGTTCAATTTTATTCTTTTTATTTTTGTTTGTGTTTTGTTTCTGCTATATTTTCTTTTGCATTTTAGCTAAACTAAGACTTGCCCTGCATGGTGCCAGCTCTAGCACACACAGCAGAGCCCTAGTCGATAAGAAGTTGCAAATCAGTATTCGAAAAGCACGGAGCCTGCAGGATCGCTTGCAGCAACAGCAGTCATCACAGCAGCCGGCGCAACCCTCAGCCTGCCTCCCATCACAGGGGGGTACCATCCCTCAGCCAACAAGGTAGTGCTTGGGAACCACATTAGTTTATGGATGCCAGGGTAAGAAGTGACCATGAGAACTCTATGTAAGAGCTCTTATCTTGACGATTACAAGGGAGAGGAAGAGAGGAGTCCTCTGAAAAGATTTTCTTCTCTCAGGTCAGACTTACAGTGAAAAGTTCATTGTACTGATGGTCTTTGCCTCAGTAATTCCTAGAAAGATGAAAAAATACATTATAATAAATTTGCCACTTATATAAATTTCCTACAGGTGAGTTTATCCCGTGTGTAACATGGTAATCTGGGCTGCATTTCATGTTGCAGTAGCAACCACGTGATTTATTTGGGTGTGTTGGTGTTTCCTGTCCCTTAAGGAAGCAAAGAAAGCAGTCTTTTTCTTGCTGTGGTAGAGAAGAGACATAAAGATTCCCTTTGCTTTGCTTCTTTATGGTGAGGACTAGTAGCCATTAGTGTAGTGCTCGCATCTTAGCCTTTGAATTTGGTTTTGCTTAGAATAAATGGATTTAAGTAAAAACTAATTTTAGCTACTAATAAGTCTGAGTAGTTTTCAAAATATAAGTATAATAAAAGCTGTTAATATTTTGAATATTTGCCTTGATCCTGGCACTGAGTTGAGCCAACCACTATGTGTATGTGTACATGTGTGTGAAAATTTTTTTTCTTGAGATAGGGTCTTACTCTGTCACCCAGGCTGGAGTGCCATGGCATGATAATGACTCAGTGCAGCCTAGACTGCTGGGCTCAAGGGGTCCTCCTGGTTCAGTCTTATAAATAGTGGGACTAATGGGCATGTGCCAAAATCCCAGCTAATTTTTTTATTTTTTATAGAAATGGGGTCTCATTCTATTGCCCAGGCTAGTAAATATTTCATTTTTTATTTTATTTATGTATTTATTTTTTTGAGACAGAGTCTCATTCTGTCACCCTAGATAGAGTGCTGTGGCATCATCATAGCTCAAAGAAACATCAAACTCTTGGGCTCAAGTGATCTTTTACTTCAGCTTCCCAAGTAGCTAAGACAATGCCTGGCTAATTTTTCTATTTTTAGTAGAGACAGGGGTCTCACTCTTGCTTAGGCTGGCCTCGAACTCTTGAGCTCAACCAGTTCTCCCACTTTGGCCTTCCAGAGTAGCATGAGGTACCACACTGACTATTTTATTTTATTTTATTTTTTCTTAGAATAATGTTATGAGATAGGGACTCTTACTTAGCATATTTTACAGATAAAGAAACTCAATCTCAGAACAGTTAAGTAAGGTACCCCAGATTACTTAGCTAGTAAGTGTGGACTTTAAATCCAGATCTGTTTGTACATGTCCTTAACTATTATGTAATACTGCCTTTTATGATTAGGTTTCCTATTCTTCATAATGCTATAGGGGTAACTGGGTGACTGTACTCATGAAATTGTATAGTATATTCTCATTCAAATTTAGAAACTTTTTTTTGACTATGAGCAATTTAGATTATCTCAGCCTTTTATAGAAAACTTTCATCACTTGATGAATGTGAGTTATTGAGGTTTTTTCAGAGTGCTTCTAATACTGAGGTTTTTAGGTCAGAAATATAAAACACTTAGTGAAAAACCAACTAAGTGCAGTTAATCTCTAGTGATACTCCTAAATCTCAGGAGAATCATGGTATATTACTTTAGGGAAACATCTCAATGAGTAATACAATCAAATCCAGATTATGAAAACACATTTGAAATTGCTGATTTATATGTAATCCCATGAGCCCAAATCACCCTGTATTTTATAAATGCTAGCCTCTTGTTGGTTCCCTTAGCTGGGCTCCCTCTCAGGATTCCAGGGCGGGGCCTGGGTTTCCTCCATGTGTAGAATCCTGAAGTTTTGTTCTTTAGTATGAGTAATTTTGTGGGTTTGCTTATCTTCTGTGTCACCTGCATATGGGACTAGAAATTTTTGTTTCTTACTTTGCAAATAGATTGTGGTTAGAATGGGATTCCATAAGTAGTAAAGAATATTGGCAAGGGCTCCACTTAATATTATTGTGTACAACTTTGGTGAGAGCATTTAATAAAGAGGGTTAATACTACCTTTTACCTGGGAGTGAGGTGACCATGGCATTTTCTTTTGTGGACCTCTGAATTGTTGACTCTGCTTGTGCTTGTCTTTCTATTTATTTTCACCATTTCCTCTGTGGATTGCTAGAAACGGAAATGGAATGAACAGTTCTTTTTGTAAGTGTTCCCATCAATCAAGGCAGTTTATGACTGGCTCTCTTCATTTGTTTCAGTGAACAGCCTATCCCGCTCCAAGTACTGTTAAGCCAGGAAGCCCAGCTGGAACCCTGCACGGATAGAGAGTTTGGGACCAGTTCTTTCTTCCACTCACCTGCTTCCTGCCATGAGTCACACTCATCCCTATTCCCAGAGTCAAATGTCCCACAGCACAATTCCCCTACTAGATCTGTCTTGAAGCTTCTGACTTCAGGTGAGGTGGACAACACTGACACCTCTGCATTCCATAGGCAGGGTTTACCTAAAACACCAGGCAGGACTGAGAAGAATTCTCATCATGGTTGGGAGCCATTGGATGCCTCAGAGGGTAAACTTCATGGCTATTGGGGTAACAATGGCGGCTGCAGCAAATTCCCTCCGCAAGAAGGAAGAGGCATTGCTCAAGAACAGCTGTTCCAAGAAAAGAGGGATCCTGCTGATCGATCTCTGATGATACCTTTGTCATACACAACTGGAATACCCACCTCTGAGAGAGAAGATGAACATATCCTAGGCTGTAGTCCTTCAAATTCATCAGCTCAGTCCAGCCTTCCCCTGTATAAAGCCTGCCATCCCATAATGCCTGCTGCTGACTCATCTGAGCTTCATTCTCCTGATCCTGTGCAGAATACTAACCAATGCCTCCAAGCCCAAAGCCGCAAAACGTCATTGACTTCACGAGTAGATGGAGGCAGTGAAGAACCCTACAGGCCAGAGTTTCCCAGCACAAAGGGGCTTGTCCGCTCTCTGGCAGAGCAGTTTCAGAGGATACAAGGTGCCTCTACAAGGGATGGTACAGGTTCTAAGGACAAAAATTTGCCAGATAGTTTAAGAAAGAACTTTTCCCCTTCTGATTCAAAGCCTCCTCTTTCACAAGGTCAAGGGAAAGACCACTGGCCTAGGGCAATACAGCAACCCTCTCTGGATGGCAAAGACAGATTGCCTTTCTGGGAAGACCCTGCTGAACACTTTTCTTTTGCCATAAACTCTGGGCTGCCTAATGGTGAAACTTCTAGAGGAGGACAGCCCAGGTTGGCAGAACCAAGTATATATCAAGGGAAGCTGTCCCAAGCGAGAGATGCTAGGCCTAAGGAGCTGGGTAGCAGTATGGACTTGGGGACTTCCTTGCCTTTAGATTCCTGGGTGAATGTCACGAGACTCTGTGATTCTCAGCTTAAACATGGAGCCCCTGGGCCAGGAAATAAGTCCTCTCCCCATGATTCCCATAGTTGTGCAACATATCCAGAGAGAAATCACATCCTTTTACATCCACATTGGAACCAAGACACAGAGCAGGAGACCTCAGAATTGGAGTCTCTCTACCAGGCTAGTCTTCAGGCTTCTCAAGCTCGCTGTTCTGGATGGGGACAGCAGGATGTGGCTTGGCACCCACTTAGCCAAACAGGTAGGGATGCAAACGGTGGGGGAGTGAGGATCATATAAAAGCAGAAGGATAAGATGAGAAGAAGAAGGATAGTGTTCTGTATAGATAGTATACCCAGCTTAGTAGGAAGTAGTAAAGCTTCTGAGTTCACTTAGAAAGGCTTCAGGACAAAGGTTAGACAATTTTATGGCGAGTGGAGAATAGGAACAGAATTACCACTCAAAAGACCAGTATCCTCCTTCTAAAGAAAGAGACTCCCAAGTATTTTCCCATGGCTTCTCCAGTAGGCTGTACTAAGGAATAGGTCTTTGAGGGTGACTGAGTATGATATGGGGCAGGCTAACAGGAAAATATGTTCTTCTATGGCTTCTCAACCTGTGGGTTGCAGCCCACAGGAACTGTATTTAAGGGCTGTGGCATTAGAAAAGTTGAGAACCACTGGCTTAGAAGGTGAAGTAATCTCAAGATTTACCATTGTGGTCTACCTTGCAATAGTATGTCCACACTGAGCCTAGTCTCCAGTGAGTCTCCAGTATGGTGTTTCCAGATCATAGTGAACCTTGAATCCTTCAGGAATTGCCAAGTTTAGTTAGTGCTTATAGGATTTTCATGGCAGTGTGCCATAGGGTAGCCATTCACTGACTCTCCCTGAGATAATACTAAGTGGGGAGTGGAGCCTACACCTCAAGTGCACATTACAGATTTAGTTCTGGAAACTAAAGATAAGAACAATGTTTGTAACTTAGATTAATGCCTTTTTTTTTTTTTTTTTGAGACAGTATCTTACTCTACTGTCCAAAGTAGAGTGCGGTGGCATCATCATAGCTCACTGCAACCTCAAATGCCTGGGTTCAAGTGATCCTCCTGCCTCAGTCTCCTAAGTAGCTCGGGCAGCTAATTTTCATATTTTTTTGTAGTGATACAGGGGTCTCACCATGTTATTTAGGCTACTCTCTAACTCCTGGCCTCAAGTAGTCCTCCCACTTCAGCCTCCCAAAGTGCTAGGATTACAGGCATGAGCCACTTGCACCTGGCCAGGTTGATGATTTTAACTCCAAAGCCTGAACTGCTTTCCTGGTTCCAACATTAACTTTCAGTATTAATTGGGAAAAATCACTTAATTTCCCAGTACCAAAGTTTTACCTGTAAAGTGAAAGAATCGGTTCAGAGATTTTTGTTTAAGGTGCATTCCAACTCTGAAATGGTATGTATGATTCTGTGAAATTAAACTCAGAGAACTTTTATCTGTATTTTGGTTATGACAGTTTTCTTTTTCTTTTTTTTTTTT